TGGGAACGATTGTTCTGGTATAGAACGATCGTTCACAAAAATTCATGGCAAATATGATTGATATCAGAACGATCGTTCTAGAAGTGGATCAATCGTTCATATAACTCCTTCTACGCATGTTTCATCTAGACGCCAGACTGGATTGTTTTCACGAAAACTTGAATAACTTTTGATCGCACAGTTAGATTGACTTCAAACCACTTCCAAATGAAAGCTAACTCAAACATTTAGTATATGCTCAAAGTTCTGCTCGATCCATAGGTTGAAAGTGCTTCAATGAATGCCAAACTTCAGACGTCCTTGCATAATATTGCATCAACGTATGATTTTTTGCACCCAAAATGACTCATTTTCTCCCAAAGCGAACTAAAACCTGAAAAGAACCTATAAAGGACTAAAAGAATTTAACATGAACACTTTGACTCGAAAAATCGTTTAAAACCTTTGGTTAAAAAATCTCAGAACCCCAATATATCACCATTTCAAGTCAAGACTTCAGAAAACACGGAAGAAAGGGTATGCAAGCCTAAAAATATCTTACCACGAGAATCCTAAGAAGTCTAAACAAGAACTGGAAGATGCTAAGTGCAAGGCTCTAATGGAAAAGCTTGGTGTTGAGATTCCTTTGATTGATGCCGTTAGAACTACTCTTGTGATTAGGAGGTATGTGAAGAGGATGGTAACCAAGAATTTGGATCTTGAGCAAGAAGCAATGATGATCTCTGAACAAGCCAGTGTTGTGATTCAGAACAAGATTCCACAAAAACTCACAGATCCATGAATCTTTGTATTGGACTGCACAATCTTTTCATAGAGGTTCAAGAGATCTCTTTGTCATTTGGGTTTCTGTGTCAGTCTGATGCCTCACTCAGTTGATGTTAGCCTTGGAATGACTGATTTCTAACCCGCTAGGATCTCTCTTATCCTAACAGATCGATCCATAATGATCCAATAAGGTGTCTTAGAGGATGTTCCAATCAAAATTGGTGATTGTATGATTCCCACAGAGTTTGTGGTTTTGAAATAGGGTGAAGAGCCTAAGGATCTTCTTACTATAGGAAGATCTTTTTTTGGCTACAGTTGGTGTCATTATTGATGTGAGGAAGGGGAGTATAGCTCCGAATGTGGGTGATCTGGTCATGAACTTTGACATGAAAAGCAGATAAAGAGACCAAAAGTAGATGGTCAAACATTCTATGTGGATTCTCTTACCAACCTTTCAGAGGAAATCTTCCATGAGATGCATCAAGCAGATCATTTGGAGAGAGCATTGGCCACTTCTACAAGAGAAGCAGAGTATCTTGATGACATTGTTGTTGAGTATGACAAGATGATGGATGCTAGTGATCATGTTATGGAACTTGTTGGACAAGAGGAGCTAGTTGAAACTTTTGAGAAAGCTGCAAAGCTCAGTGACTGGATGAGGACAAATCTCCCAAAATTGAACGCATTGGCCACTTCTACAAGAATAGTTGAGTATCTTGATGACATTGTTGTTGAGTATGGCAAGATGATGGATGCTAGTGAGCATGTTATGCAACTTTTTGCACAAGAGGAGCTAGTTGAAACTTCTGAGAAAGCTGCAAAGATCAGTGACTGGAGCGAGGACAAAGCTCTCAAAATTGAACTCAAACAGCTCCTTGCTGGGCAAAGGTATGCATTTCTTGGACAGAACTCTACTTTATTGCTAAGAAAACTGAACAGATTTCGGAAATCTCTTGGCTATTCTCTTGAATATTTCAGGTATCTCTTCACACTTGTGCGTAGGATTCACCTTGAGGATGAGACTAAGTTATTAATTGAGAGCCAGAGGTGGTTGAATCCGAATCTGCAGGAAGTTATAAAGAAGGAATTATGAAACTATTGGTAGCTGGGATATTATATCCCATTTCAGACAGTGCTTAGGCCAGTCCAGTGCATGTGGTTCCTAAGAACGGTGGAGTCACAGTGGTGAGGAATGAGAAGAATGAGCTGATTCCTATAAAAAACTGTGATTGGGCACATGATGTGCATTGACTACAGGAAGTTGAATGCTGCAACAAAGAAAGACCATTTCCCATTGCTCTTCATTGACCAGATATTGGAGAGGTTGGCGAATCATCCTTACTATTGCTTCCTTGATGGGTACTCTGGTTTCTTTCAGACTCGCATCCATTCAGATAACCAGGAGAAGACCACATTTACTTGTCCCTATGGTACATTTGCATATCGCAGAATACCATTTGGGCTTTGTAATGCACTTACGATATTCCAGAGATGCATGATGTCTATCTTCACAGATATGATTAAGGAGTTTACGAAGGTTTTTATGGATGGCTTTTCTGTCTATGGGTCTTCCATTAAAGACTGTCTTGGCAACTTGTGTCAAGTACTTGCTAGATGTGAAGAGAAGCACTTGGTTATGAACTGATAGAAATTCTACTTTATGGTTAGAGGTGGCATTGTACTTGGGTATAGAGTATCAGAACTTTGCATTGAGGTTGACATGGCAAAAATTGAAGTTATGACAATCCTGCAGCCACCTAATTGTGTGAAATCAGTAAGGAGCCTTCTAGGACATGATGGGTTCTACAGAAGATTCATCAAAGATTTCAGCAATATTGCAAGATCACTTACTGCTCTGCTCTGCAATGATGTGAAGTTTGAGTTTACTGCAGAGTGTCATTCTGCTTTTGACCAGATCAAGTAAGCTTTGGTGAGTGTCCCAATTGTACAATCTCCAGACAAGGAATTTCCTTTCGAGGTTATGTGTGATGCCAGTGATTTCGCATTTGGGGCTGTTATGGGCCAGAAGAAGGACAAATTTCTTCATGTTATTTACTATGCTAGCAGAACTCTTGGTGATGCCCAGAAGAATTATGCAACCACTGAGAAAGAAATGTTGGATGTGGTGTTTTCATTTGAAAAATTTCGACTGTATTTGGTTAAAGCTAAGGTGATAATGCATACAGGTCCTTGTGCTCTCAAATTCTTGATGCAAAAGAAGGATGCAAAACCAAGGTTGCTAAAATGGATTCTCCTTCTTCAAAACCAAGGTTGCTAAGGTGGATTAGTTATACATGCATGTTTGAGTTCAAGATTGTGTTAAACCTATTCCATGTTTGGTTCATGGTCTTTGATTTCTGCAAATTACCCTCGACCTAATAATTATTTTAATTGATCTATCTACCAATTTTATTTGCTATTTTCGTTTTGCATTACAAACTGCAACCATAATCTTGTCTTAGATTAGTTTCATTCATTAAGATTTGCAATGTAACATTTAGTCCTTGTGGATGGTTTATTTTGTTTAAATTATTATTGTTTGTTAAATGTGGGGGTATGAAGATCCATTCTTCAATACTACAAACAAAATTTGAATGTAGTGAACACATGAAGGTGATTACTTTAATGTGTAATCAAGAATGTTGCTGTTACAGTGTAAATTTTGGCCGAAGAATTTTAGGCTTATTAAACAGTTAAAATTAGCTCAGCAATGAGACTCTCTTATTGAAGAAGAATGGCTTGAATAAAAATTAAGCTATTAAACTCTCAGCGAGAGAAGTTTATTGTTAGAAATCGTTTTCGCCTAATAGATTTGGGCTATCTTTTAAGAGGCCCTTTACTCAGTTCGGAAAAATCAGCACAGTCAATATTGAAATATTCGTCAATTAAGAACAATAAATTAAATTAAAAGCATTAGATGTTACGAAGGGAAAAAATCACTGGAGAAAATCAGTATAAAAGAAAAAGAAAGGTGATCAAAGAAAGGGACTTCTCTTCAAAACAATTACATCAAAATTCTATACTTTCTACATATATCGAGTTAAAGCTCTATAGGAAGAACACATGATAGTTCTTCTTGGATAAACTCTTGGTGAAATTAGCCATTTTAGTTATAGCTTGATCCCAAAATGGAGTACATAGGCAACTCGAATCACGAATGCAGCTAAAAATTTTATAAATACGTTTTTGTTTATTTAGTCTAGACTGAGTTCTTATGCTTATGCTTATTCATTCTAAGTTAAAATATTAAGCTTATTTTCTATTATATTTTACTTCAGATTCAGCTTAATTCATATATAATTTATTATCTTTTTAATAATAAATTTATTAATTTTATTATTTCATTTTTGCCTAAGTTTATGTTTATTTGTTCATTTTTGCTTCTCATCTTTATAGAAATCTGTTTGATACGCTATTTAAACTTAAATTTTTGATTATTTATTGAAATGTTACTTGATTCTTTATTTGATTGAAGATGAACTAAATTTTTATATTTAAAAGAACCACAAAACTTAATGTCAATTAATTTTGAATTAGATCCAACAAACTCAAAAATTAGTTGCAAAAATCGAATCGCTTGTATCTCAAGAAGTGGTATGATAATATGATAGTTACCCAAAAGTGATAAGTGCATACTAATAGATTTATTTTACTTTTCTATTTTTCTTTAGTTTATTACATTGACTGCACTAATACTAATAGTAGTAATATGAATGAGTTGCAAAATATGCATTAGTGCATAAGTATTAAATTTATTGCATTGAGATTTGATATAGTTATTAGTATATGAGTCACAAAATATGTTGCAAGGGCGTAATTATATATAGAAATTATTGCACTGAGATAATTAAATAATTATTTATATGGAAGTTACAAAAAAATACAAAAGTACATTTTTGGTTTGGTCAAAGTGCATCTAAATATATTTACTATCAGTTACTATGGATACAAATAAATTAATGATATCTAAGGCAGTTTTTTTGTTTTTTAGAATATGCAAACAAAAAAAGTATGTGAAAACTATATTTCAAAATATATAAATAAATGAAATATAAGGCAGTTTTTTGTTTTTTTAGAATATGCAAACAAAAAAGGTATGTGAAAACTATATTTCAAAATTCCCTCACATGGTAATAGTGTGAATGAAACATGGACCAATAAGATGGAATCAAAATTTTACGTTTCTATATATGATTAGATTGGTACTAGCTAGCTTCCACACAAACTAGTCAAAAGCAAGAAGCCAATATAACAAAGTTGGCACACACAAGCTTCATCACAATTAAAAAAAAAAAAAACCTGTTCTAAAATCCAACCCAACATTTTTCCTCAGATCCAAATGGCCCCTACAATTTCCATGCACTCGTTCAATTTCATCGAGAAGGCACATGAAGAAAGAGCCTATGTGACGTTCTTGGCCGGTAATGGAGACTATGTGAAGGGTGTAGTGGGACTAGCAAAGGGTTTACGTAAGGTTAAAAGTGCTTACTCTCTTGTTGTTGCTATCTTGCCTGATGTTCCTGAGGAACATAGAGAGATCTTAAAGTCTCAAGGCTGTGTCGTGCGTGAGATCGAGCCTCTTTATCCTCCTGATGACCAGGTCTCATATGCAAGGGACTATTACGTTATCAACTACTCGAAGCTTCGAATTTGGAACGTAAGCATCTTGAAATCTTGAAAAAAACTAAAACTCAATGCATTTGTTTTCTATAATATGTTGAGATCTGAATTTATATTATATTGTTAAACTTTGTAGTTTGAAGAGTACAAGAAAGTGGTTTTCTTGGACGCGGATATTCAGGTCTATGACAATATAGACGAGCTCTTTGATTTGCCAGATGGTTACTTGCACGGCGTGTTAGGCTGTTTCTGTGAGAAAACATGGAGCCACACGCCGCAGTACACAATCGGATATTGTCAACAGTGCCCGGAAAAGGTGACGTGGCCCATCGAGATGGAATCTCCTCCTCCTCCTCCGTACTACAACGCCGGAATGTTTGTGTTTGAGCCTAACCTTACTACTTACGAGAGCCTCCTCCAAGCTCTCAAGGTCACACCACCTTCAGAATTTGCAGAACAAGTGAGTTAAGTTTTATAATATGATTTAATATTTGGATTAAAATGATAAAAATTATATATATTTTTTACAAAAAAAATGTTATGAATCACACTTGGCTATAAAAGACATATGATTCATTTCTTTATATTCGGGTTTTAAATTAGAAATTCATATAATTGGTTTAACTTTTAATGGTATTTGGCAGGACTTTCTCAATGTGTTCTTTGAGAATGTTTTTAAACCGATCCCATTGGTTTACAACCTGATTATGTCTTTACTTTGGCGTCACCCGGAGAACGTGGAGCTGGACAAAGTCAAGGTTGTGCATTATTGTGCACCTGTAAGTACTCTCTCTTGCTTATACTATCTCTTATGGTTCTGATACTTTAAATATAATCCATTTTATTATTGGTGAAAAAATGATAGGGATCCAAGCCATGGAAGTTCACAGGAGAAGAAGCTTACATGGACAGAGAAGACGTCAAAATGTTGGTTAAGAAATGGTGGGATATCTACAATGACGAATCTCTCAATTTCAAACCATTAAGCTCTTGAAGAAAGAAGCCGTTTCTAAATGATTTGGCATGAAAGAAAAAAAAAAACAGATGAAGCCAAATTTTGTTGTGTTTGATTTATATGCTTTGGGTTGTATTTTTGTTTGTTTGATTGTGTGGTTAGCAATAAATTCGTCAAAACTATATCATACTTCTTTTGTTTTCTTTTATAAGATGTTTTAAATTTTTTTTTTAATCATAATTAGATGATGTTTTCATAAATCAATGCAAAAAGTAATAGTCTTATTATATATATTATTTTTCTATTGGTTGAATTGTTTTGGAATTGATGTTTTATTTTGGAAAAAGAGAAAATTAAATAACTTCTTAATTTATGTGCAAAACCTTGAACATTATATATGAAAAAACGGAGGGAGTATTATTTAGTTGAAGGGGTTTTTAACTTGATAACCATATTGAAAGAAAAAATTCAAAAATATAGCTATGCTATTCACAAAAATATGTAAAGTAATTATGGTCCACATAAAAAAAACTAAAAAAAATCCTTCTGTTTTAAACTAAAACGTATTGATTGGCCTGATTATTATGCTAAAAAAATAGTATAGTACTTGAAGTTTTAAATATAAAATCAGGTTGAAAATAAATAGTATAGTATTTAAGATTCCAATTATACAATCAGATTATACTATAATATATATTCTCATGCCATAAGATTAATATAGTATAGTATATAAGATTCTAATTACATATTGATTAGCCTATCATTAAGCTAAAAAAAATAGTATAATATTTGGGATTTCAATTATTTAATTAGGTTGCATATTTTAACATAGTATAATACTCTCTTATGAGAAATATTTCACATAAGAGTATAATTATTTTCTTCTATTACATATTATTATGCATCATTTATATTTAAATAAAGGATATTTTTATATATATGGTAAAATATACAACTAATATCATAGCATCTATTTTCATATGATTATTTTACAAATTTAGGTGATTGTTACAGTCATATGTACCAATTGTTGAATATGTTTTTATCGGCTCGAAAAAGAAAAAGATATGAAAAACATATTATATAACACCAAATAGAGTTTTCTCCATTGAATTTTTTTGATAAGACCAAATGATAAGTCAGCAAGAATTCGTCACTCTTTCCTTCAAAAACAAAAGTGCCAATTTTTGGACAACCAAACATTGTTCAATGGAGATGAAATACAAGTCAGCCATGGATAGGTAGATCCAAAGTAGTTGATCGTTGAAACGTTGAACAGCTTTTTAATCAACGTTGACAAAAGAAAAAACAAAACTCGAAAACGGGTCAAAAAGGAAGAAAGAGAATTTGGCAAAAGAAGAAGAAAAACCGTAAATGGATCATCCACAAGTTTTTCGCTTTTCGACTCAAATCTCTCATTTGGCTCTCGACATCGGAGGTAACCAAACAAAAAACCCATTTTTGATTTTGTTTCGGTTCTGGGTTCTTCTCGATTGATCTGAAAAACTTGGTTTTTGTATGATTTCGATTTTTGGGTGAATTTTCGCAGGGACTCTGATAAAGCTTGTTTATTTCTCGGCGAATGGAGACAGTATCGAGGAGTCACGTGACGGAGGAAGCATCGTCGTTGGTAATAACGGTTGCTCCGTTGTGCAAGGGAGGCTTTGTTTCGCCAAGTTTGAGACGAGAAAGATTGATGATTGTTTAGAGTTTATTCGACTCAATATTCTTCATCATTCTTCCGGTAAGTGTTTATGAATTGATGATGATTACATCTGATATCAAGATCTGATTTAAGTAAGCTTTATCGCTATTTGGAGTAATGAGTGTGAACATATACTGCAATTGTAGATCATAACACATATACAATCTTCTCTATCTTCCTCTGATTTGAAACAAAGGAATGTTTTTTCTGAAAATTTGGCCTTCCCTATTGCAATTGTTAATCATTACACATAGAATCTTCTCTATTTTCCTCTGATTGAATCAAAAGGAAAAAGTTTGGCCTTTTCTAAGATAAACAAAGAAAAAAGTTTGGCCTTTTCTATTGATTTCTTTGCCTGGATTGTTGATTTAGTTGTTGTTTCACTTACACTTTGAGATATACTAACGAAGGTAAATGTTCAGGGGTTCAGCATCCAAATGGCACAGCCTGTGATAAACTCTCTGTTAAGGTAAAAGCTATTGTTTATAGCTCTGCCTAAAGCTTTGTAGTGTGGAATGTTGCAGTGTGATTTACATTTTCTTTTAAAACCTGATTATAGTCTGTTAATTTGATTTGCTATTCAAAAGGCCACAGGTGGTGGAGCATTTAAGTTTGCTGATCTCTTTAAGGAGAAACTTGGAATCCATTTTGATAAAGAAGATGAGATGCATTGTCTTGTTGGGGGTGCAAATTTTCTCTTAAAGGTATCATTTTTTTTTTCCTATCATCATGACATCATCTCTGTCTGCAATTTTCTTCTAACATCTAACATTACCCAAACGAGGATCTGAGTTTGTTATATATATATATATATATATATATATCGTGTTAGCTTTTCGCATCTACTTCTTGTTTGTGTCTTTGCTAATGCACTTGAGACCACAAACTCTATCACGTTTGTCGTCAATCTTTTGCTGATTCTTCATATGTGTGAAGTTGTTTTATGTTTTTCTGATAGTAACTATATCTTGGCATGGAATGTTGTTGCATATAGACTTCTAGAATATTGCAAACATAGCTAGTAGCTACATTACCATTTAGGGTATTAGTTTTTTGATGATGATGATAATCTGCAGTTTAATTTTTTTATGGAATAGGATCTTGTAAACTTCCCTGAATAGCCAATTTTCATCGCTGCTTGTAAATAAAACAAATATGCTATTGCATGCTTGCTTACATCTGAAGTCTGAATCTGATTGCAGACAGTCCCAAGGGAAGCTTTCACCTACTTGGATGGGCAAAAGAAGTTTCTCCAGATCGACCATAAAGATTTGTATCCATACCTCCTTGTTAATATCGGCTCTGGAGTTAGCATGATCAAGGTTTCACTATGGTTTTTTGGCTTCTCTATGATCACTTTTTATATCTTTTGGCAACTACATCAGCAGCGACGTTGCTTACTCAAACTCGCTTTCTTCTGTAGGTCGATGGAGATGGAAAGTATGAGAGAATCAGTGGAACAAGCCTTGGTGGAGGCACATTTTTAGGTCTCGGAAAGCTTTTAACAAAATGCCAAAGGTGACTTTCTTATTCCACAGCTCTCTATTCATATTTCATACAGTTTCCTCCTTTTCATGAGGAACTAACATCTCTTAGTTCCAGTTTCGACGAGCTTCTCGAGTTAAGTCACCATGGAAACAACAGAGTGATCGATATGCTTGTGGGAGATATCTACGGTGGAACAGATTACTCAAAAGTAAGTTGATTTTTGCTGAAACATTATCACTTTGGATTGTAATAAAAAAAAAGCAAACTCCTCGTTCTTTTTTCGTTAGATTGGTCTCTCCTCAACAGCCATAGCTTCCAGCTTCGGGAAAGCAATATCTGATGGTAAAGAACTCGAAGATTATCAGCCTGAAGATGTCGCAAGATCGCTTCTAAGAATGATATCCAATAACATCGGTCAGGTCTGTTCTTGCAAAACCACTTCCATGCATTTTACAAAACTCTCGAACCTGATGATATGTTTCTGACTGAATTGTATCATTTTCTCTCTCTCTATCTCTCTCTCTAGATTGCTTACTTGAATGCACTAAGATTCGGCCTTAAACGCATATTCTTTGGTGGATTTTTCATCCGTGGTCTCGAGTACACCATGGACACAATATCTGTTGCTGTTCACTTCTGGTAATCCAAATCCAAAACCAAAACCGAGACTTTATGTAAAATGTCCATAAGATCTTATTTAGAGTTTTTTCTCATATTTTCAGGTCAAGAGGTGAAGCAAAAGCAATGTTCTTGCGACATGAAGGGTTTCTTGGAGCTTTAGGCGCATTCGCTAGCTACAAAGAGCAGAGCCAAGATAATAGCGAGATGAAACCGCAACATCACACTGTGCAAAGAGCAATACTAAACTGTTCAGGTGATAACGTTCGTCACTTCCCAGTAACTGCTAATTTAAACGATGGTGAAACCATAGAATGTAGCATCAGTTTAGTTTAGTCATTGTGTACTTTTAACTTGGTTCAGTATGTCACACCAGTGTATTTATATGAAATCAATGTAGAGAAAATGTCTTTTAACTATTAAAGTTATTATCGTTCGGGTCAAGAGCTTGCTCATTAATAGAGAAACTTGTTGATACAAGACTTGTTTATATAAAGATGATTTATGTATATGCTCAAGGATGATCCATATTCACTTCTTTTCTCTCAAAAAAGTAATCGAACCATTTGAAAATTGATTTCTAGATAAACCCGGAACTGAACCACAAAATCAAACCAAAAATCGTTGACACGGTTTCACTTTTGCTCTACCTAAAACCTGAATATGAAAAATTGAATGAAAGGAAACCACTAACAAATCATATCAAATCATTGGAACTAGAATCGTTTTGCTTTGTAAACCGTGAAACTCCAAAACCGGAATTGACATCAGTAGTACCGGTACGAACCAATGTTCTTCTCCACATCCCGCACGCTTACACGTGTCAGCCACACCTGCCTGTCTTCTCCATTTTGATTTTTTTCTTCATTCCATTCGCACTTCGTCGATTTCGGTCCGTCCCTGACTATCTCCGATCGCCGCGGATTCTTCGCCGGAGAATCTTCTCCTGCTGTATGATTATCTTGTGCAGCTGCTTAAGAAGTTGAATTGATCTAATCTTGTTTACCAGGTAAAAAAACTTCTTTTCTACATCTTACAATCAATCTTCTCCCGTTTCGTTCCCCTAACGATCGAATTTTGATTTCTCTCATGATCTCCATCGCAGTAGATCTTCATTCTCACAGCTTCGATTCGATTGTTCCTCCTCCCTGATATCCGTTCATTGCTCGAATTGGGAACAAAATGGTACGGATCTTCCCCCAATTAACATTTATCTTTGCCGTAAAATTGTTTGTATGACGAGTAATTGCTTAGATTCGATTGAATCTTCTCAATTTTAGGTCTTTCCTTGAGATTTCTTGCGTCACTGATTATAACTTTGATTTCGTTCCATGGAGTCACTTGTTGAATCCACTGCTTATAGAGACGAGTCTCTTGAACTTTGTAACTCTTTGATACTCATTGTGTTCCTTAATCCTCATGGTTAGGTTTATCACTCGAGTTTTGTGGATGAAGAAGGGATAACAAAGGCATGTGGTTGTCCATTGCTTCCTCTCAAGAGCCATATAAAGGGTCCTGCACCTGTTTCAGAACAAGGTATTTGAAAAACGAAACCACACAATGTGAATATGTGATATTCGAATGTGCAAGAGTATTTATATATGATGTTTATATGCAGACAAAACGGATATCGTGGACGAGGCAATCACGTTCTTCCGCGCGAACGTTTTCTTCACTAACTTTGACGTCAAAAGTCCTGCTGATAAGCTCCTTATCTACTTGACGTTCTACATAAACGTGGCGTTAAAGAGGCTCGAAGGCTGTAGAACATTAGCTGTAGGAACTAAGGCGATTATCAACTTGGGTTTAGAAGATATCCCTGTTCCTGGAGAAGCTGGCTTTCCTTTTCCAGGTCTCTTTTCGCTTCCTCCGTCACAGGAAGAAGCAGGTACATGTACTTTTATTGATTCCTTGTCTTCTCTTTCAGTTTATGGGTCTGTTTTGATCTGATTTGTTCTACACTACTAGGATTGTTTTACCTCCTCCTAACTATTTGAGCCTTTCTTGTTCTGTTGGTTTTCAAAAATGTCAGATCTTTTCAGGAACTATCTGAAGCAGGTTCGAGAAGAGACTAGTGGGAGGCTGTTGAGTGTAGCGTACAGAGCTAATGGGACACCAAACAAATGGTGGCTTGCATTCGCCAAGAGGAAATTCATGAACGTGGTTGTTCTCTAAACAACAGGATCATCATCACTGGTAAGTTCTGAAAGTATATAAGAACATTACTGCGGTTTACTGGATACGGTTATCTACTACATCATCTTAGTTTGTGTAAGACAAACCAGTTAACTTTTCTTAGAGCAGCCTTCAAGATTTTTAAAAAAGTTGCTCTTTTGATCTGAACTTTCATAATTTAGTTGTTTGGTTATGTTTTTTTGCTTGCAGCCACATTACACATTAGGAAATCCGAAGGCACTAGAGAACATGAGTCTCGCCGCCTTTAGCTTCCTCTGTGTAGGTGTTTAGCCATTGGAACCAGGAAGACGAAAGTTCGATATTAGAGCAGAAATTTTCTCTCTGTATCTCTCCATATATATACATAGTGTGCTACTGTATTATTTCAAACTACTCCTGTATGTTTTATACAAGATCAAAGTTAATAAGAAGATTCTTTTGTTTGTTACTGTTAAGTCTACGAACCTTAAGGTGTCGACTTTCCTCAAGGAGAAGACAAAACGAGCACCACTATAAGCGAGATGAACAGAGTACTCACCGGACTTCTTCTTCTTTGGAGAAACAGAGGACGGACTTCTTTGGAGAAACAGAGGAACGAAAAAACAGAAACAGAGTATCGAGCAAGAAAAGTAAAGTGGAGCCCACAGAGAATTTTAAACTCCCTTGTGGGCAGCTACGTCTCTCCGAGTCTTTGACTCGAAATCCACTAGTTTTACATGAGAGAATACAAACACTAGATGTTACAAAGCGATTCACTGTAACTTTCATTAGCACTTAGAACACACTTCGTAATACCTATATAACAAGAAGAAAACAATACAAGTTTATACCTAAAGCTTTCTCTTTTCTCTCTAATATCAAGCAATCTTATGATTTATTTCAACACCTCTCTCTTTCCACCATTGCAGCCTCTTTATAGTGGCTTCTTCTTAGGGCTTCCTCGCATGATGTCAAACTCTCATTCACAGCTGTTCTGAGTACCAAATGCCATCGTGTGCAAGCCAAGAATACCACTTAATGACTGTCAATAACTAACCGTTGCAGACCTCAAGTTTGTAGTATCCGGATGTAATAATAAGTGGTCCCAAAAGCAGCTAATTCTTAGCTCTAGTCCAATTAACTTGACTTGAGTTATAACCATGAGTTATCCTTGTTGGCATTCACATATTGCTTGTTCATCAGGGTAAAAACTTCACAAATCTCCACTTGTTAACATGATGAACAGATTCCACAGCAAACCCTAAGCGGTTACAGAGAGAGATCACATACCTTGCAAACTAGTTACAGGATTCTATACTCGGATTCTCTGAGTTTTATTACTCAGACGTGACTTAGAGCAGCTTCAATTCAGCTTGAAACTTGCTCACAGCCAAGACTTTAGTGAAAATATCTGCAGGATTCTTTTCAGTCGATATCTTCACTACCTCCACCTTTCCATCCGCAATAACTTCACGAATGTAATGGTACTCCACATCTATATGCTTTGTTCTCTCATGGTGGACATTGTTCTTTGAGAGAGCAATAGCACTTTGTGAATCACAGTGTACCTTGACACTTCTTTGTTCATACCCAAATTCCTTCAAAAAACCTTTCAACCAAACAGCTTCTTTAACGGCTTCAGTTAGTGCCATGTATTCTGATTTGGTGGTTGAAAGTGCAACAACTTGCTGTAGTCCTGACTTCCAGCTTATGGTGTTACCCCCAAGAGTGAACACCAGTCCTGTAATAGACCTTCTTTTATCAGGATCAGCAGCAAAGTCAGCATCACAGTACCCCACAATCTTGAACTCGGAGCTTCTCTTGTAGCACAGTCTCGTCTTCAGAGACCCCTTAATGTATCGCAATACCCACTTAACTCCTAACCAGTGTTCACTGATCGGCTGACTCATGTAGCGGCTGATGATTCCTACTGCATAAGCTAGATCAGGTCGAGTCCCCACCATTGCATACATGATGTTTCCGACTGCATTGGAGTATGGAATGATTTTCATAAATTCAGCATCCTTCGCTAAGCTTTCTTCTGTAGAAGCACACATCTTCAGGTGAGCTCTAAGTGGTGTCACCGTATGTTTAGCTTCACTCATGTTGTAGGTTTCCATAACTTTCTCTAAGTATCCTTCTTGAGACAGCCAAAGGGTCCATGCAGCTCTGTCTCTAGTGATTTCCATCCCTATAATCTTCTTTGCTGCACCAAGATCTTTCATTTCGAACTTCACGTAGATCCTTCTTCAGTTGTGTGATGGCTTCCATATCATTAGCAGCAACAAGCATATCATCAACATACAGAAGCAAGTACATCATCGAACCATTTGACAGTACCTTAGTGTAGGCACAGCTGTCATAATTGCTTCTCACAAAGCCGATTTCAGCCATATAGTTGTCAAACTTTTCATTCCACTGTCTTAGCGCTTGCTTAAAACCGTACAGAGCTTTGTTGAGAAGGCATACCTCATTCTCTTTAAACATTGATTCATACCCTTCAGGAGGTGACATGTAGATGTTCTCGGCTAGCTCTCCATGGAGGAAAGCTGTTTTCACCTATAACTGCTCCAACTCCAAATCCTCTTGAGCCACTATAGAGAGCAGGATCCGAATTGAAACATGCTTCACTACTGGAGCGAAGATCTCATGATAATCTATCCCTTCTCTCTATGGATAACCCTTGGCGACAAGTCTAGCTTTGAACCTCGGTTCCTCCACCCCTGGAATTCCTAGCTTATACTTGTATATCCAGTGGCTCCCAATGATTCTCTGCTTTTCTGGTCTAGTTACTATGGTCCAGGAGTGATTCTTCATCTGAGAACTCATCTCTTCTTCCATAAAACTACTCCACTTGTCCCAGTTCGAGTCCATTTTTGCTTCTCTGTAGTCTGCAAGCTCGATGGTATCTCCGTATTCTGTTGTACATAGTGCTTCTGCATAATATTCTTCACCAGCAAAACGTTTTATGGCATTGTGTACTCTTCGTGGTCTACTACCAATGTGATAGCTCCTTGGAGATCGAGTTACTTAAACTCCAGCATCACTGTATGTTTCTTCTCTCAAGCAAGTAAAAGGGCTTCGACTAGCAGGGATTGGTGTAGTGGGTCCAGCATCTTGATCTCCACCCGAAGAGATATTCATCTCTGCTTCAACATCAAGTTCCATGTATGACCCAACATGATCCTCCTCTTCAGTACTAATGTCTTTTCCCTTCTGCAGTAAATCCTTGTAGACTGCATTTTCTTAGAAGATCACATTCCTGCTCACTACACACTTCTTTTCCTTTGTAACTCAAATCTTGTATCCCTTTACTCCACTTGGATATCCAATAAGAACACCTTTCTTAGCTCTTGGACTTAGCTTGCCATCATCTGTATGGACAAAGGCTAAACAACCATATCTCCTCAAATAACTGTAATTTGGAGCTTTTCTGTACCACTTCTTGTCAGGTATTGATACAAGAGTTTTGACATTCTTGGTTAATCACCCTTTGTACTAATCATTGTAGTAAGAGTTTTATCAATCCAAAAGAGAAAAATTGAAATAGCAGGAATGCAATAAAGCTCTTAATTCAAGCAGATATAGATAAGATTGAAGTGTCTAACAACCTAAGTGATCAAACAGAAATGAAGCAAACGCCAACTAAGTGCGAACAAACTACCAAAACATAAGCAAAAACAGAGCAAATTCGAATTCAACTAAAAACAGAGAAAAGATGAGACTTGAGATGAGATAATTGGTGCTAGGGAACTCTTAACTCAACTTATAATGCTTACAAACTCACACAATGCTATTCCTTATGCATAGAATTCATTTATAAGACTAATCCAATCTCTTGACACTAATCTCTTTGCTAATTACCAAGTCAAGAACTAATTCTCATTAGTGAAATGATAAACAGCAAGCATTAAGACAATCTATCAATCCTATATTGCCAAATCACTCCCTAGACAGACAATCTCTTGAGCTATGATAAGCAATTCTCTTGCAAAGCAGTTCAGGCATTTCATCAAACACTTGGTGGGCATAAAATGAGCCTAAGATCCTAATCAACTTAGCTAAGGCTAACCAGACATTAAACACAGCAATCAAGAAAGGAAGTGAAAGAAATAAAACTAAGACATCATAGATTAAGCCTAAAGTTCTCTAAACCTAACCCATCTCAATTCCCAAAAAAAGACTACTCACTAATCAACATCCAAATCATCAATTCAAAGAGAAAAAGATAGCTAAACATGATTAGAGAGATTAAACAAGAAGATAAATGCAAACTTATATTGAAATAAACCAAAGATTCAAGCTACATGATCAAAGCAAAAACAAAAGGGGAAAGAACTGTTGGATAAAGAGATGATCCCCAAAAATTAGAGATTTTTCGTATTTATATGGGTCTCAGCGAAAATGGCGAAATTATGAATAGAAGCAAGTTTGGGCTGGTCTGTATTGATCTAGAGTGATCGATGGGTTTGATCGATGGTGCATCTGTTGCATTCCCATCGATCACATTTGATCGATACACCTGATCGATGGACACCTATCGATCAGTCTTGACCGATGTACTTGGTCGATGGAGCATTCAATGGTTTCTCATCGATCACTCCTTGATCGATGGCCTTGATCGATAGGCTTCTGCTGACTTGTATCGATCATGCCAGATCGAGAGGCTTCAGGTCTTGATCGATGGAACACCATAAATCGCCCTCCTTAGCTCCTTTTGCTCCTTCTCAGCTTGGTTAACTTCTTGAACCATTCCCACACTTCCTCCTTGCTCCATTCAGCTCCTTAAGTACCTAAAAACATCATTGATGCATAGAAAATGCAAACTACAACCTAAATGCAACATAAGCATAAAAGGAGAAGAAAATGGGACTAAAGAGAAGGAAAACATGCAAAAGAGAACCAAAACATGAACTAAATGCAAGTCTAAATGATGTAAATGTATGAGATATCAGGTATCTCAAAGTTTAGAGCAGCAGAAGGTGTCTTGTTGATCAGTATCACAGCTGTATGCATCGCTT